TATCTTCTTCTATCCAGTTACCTGGGCCTCGCATATTCTCGACCATTCAGTATACTAACCTGTAAAACGGCAGTGTATCGGGTGAGCGTGGAGGCCAACTCCATCGATTTACCCATCGCTGTTGCCAGAAACGTTTTATCAGGCTACATTTTTGGCAGGGAAAATATATCACTCGTGATTACTAACTGTCAGCTTGAAGAAGTGGGCAATTGTAAATGCCTCGTGAGCAAGAAGCTGGTAGACTGGAAGGTCGAGATTTTTGCAGACCGCCGTAGGTGCCTATAAACCCTCCAGCGACGTCGTAATCGTTATCATGGGTCGGATGCACCCCGCAATGGTGAATATTGGGGTGTGCGCTACAGGAATTCGATAATTTTGTCGAGGAACGATCCCTCGAACGAGCTAGTATACTTCTTCTAGACCAGGGGTCGGCAACCTTTATGTCTCAGAGAGCCAAGAAGGCGAATATTTGGAAATATATTTCAGTGAGAGCCATATAATATATTTTAAGGTTGAATTCGATTAAACTTGGGTATAATAAGCCCCTGGATTTGTTCATTTAAATAATGTTTCTATAATACTCATTGTCAATACGACTTCTGGTGCCGCATGGATTCGGTGATGGCTTTGTAGTCTGGTTGGTAGTTGGTGAGGTTAAGCTTCATGCAAGCGTCGTAGGGTGGACTTGATATATTTAAGCTGTGAGAATGACTGCTCATATGCATACGCAGATCTAGACAGGGTCAATACAGCTATACTCACACGCTGCAGTGTGTGGTATGTGACAGGAAGCGTGTTCCAAGTTTTGATTATCAGTTGGTCTTCGGGTTGAAGCTTTTTAATTTCTGTCCACATGCACTTGCTTGCCAACTCCGCTTTATGTCGTGCAATTCCTTCCAAATCTTCATTTAGCGACTTAAACTTATTCACCCGCATGTCTGAGAACTTCAGGTCAGCCAATTCTTCTTCGAAATCTAACACAGACACCAGCAATATAACTTAGTTCAACTGTGCTCAGCGAAAACTCGGTTGCATGGGTGATGAACTTAAAAAGACGAGTGTGCTCACGAAATTCTCCAAAGCATACTTTGAACGACTGTAGGGCACTGGATGTGAAGCCAACTAGCTGGTGGAGATCAAAGTTTTGAGTGAGCTCACTTACTGTGCACGCATCTTTATATTGTCTCAGTTTTTCAAAACGTAGTAAACTACCTGTTTCAAGATCCATGATAAAGAGCTCCAGCTTGTTTTCAAAAGCACATACGGCTTATTGAAGGGGTAACAATGTATTTCCATTGCCTTGCGTTTTAACGTGGGGCTGGTTCAGATGTTGGTCATATCCACGGGATAGTAAAACATGAGGAGCCACTCAGTTTCGGCCAGCTCAGGCTGCTCAATGCCCTTCATTTCAAGGAAAGTCCGGGTTTCCTTCAGGCAAGCCGCAAAACGGCTAAGCACCTTCGTTGTTGATAACCAACGTACGTTGCTGTGCAAAAGCAGACTGTGATAGTTATTTCCAACTTCAACAGTGTTTTAATCTGTCGATCATTTAAGGCTCGGGCAACAATAAACTTGCTCACACGAATGATCAGCGACATCACTTCGCCAAGCTGCCCGTCAAAAATCTGAGCATAAAGGGCCTTCTGGTGTAGACTACAATGGAAGCGTAGGAAGGATCCATTTTCAGGTTCACAGAGGAGCGCCACAAATCCTTTGTTTTTCCCCACCATACACGGAGCACCATCAGTAC